TCCCAAGAACCCTTAAGTTTGTATGTACTTTGATTGTGTTGGCCCAAAGAGAGAAAGTCGGTGGTAAGAGGAACTCCAATTGGCAACAAAAAAGGAAGCTTATTTGAGTTGTTAACTGATGTGGGCGTGGCTGTGCTGGCTCCTCTAATAGTTTGTTGTTTGCCTGCCTGCCTGCCTGCCCGAGTGGCCGCTGGGGGAAATTAGATAATTGAAAATGAAACTGCAAATAATGATGCTGCTGATCAGAGCTAAGTAAGCTTAAAAGCCAAGAGAGAAAATTACGGCGAAATTGCCAATAAAGAATGTGGCGAAATTTCGATTTATCGAAGCAGAGATAATACTCAGCGAGTCAGCCAATGTCGATGATTCAATTGTGGGTGCTGGCGGCGGCACTCGGTTGCTGAAATAATTAAACCGAAATATGGATTTTCATTCACAAATCACGCAGCCAGCCGGAAATGGCATTAAAATAATACATTAACTTCACCAAAACGTTGCGTCGCCCCCTCACTATGAAATACAAAAAAATGTGATTAATTTAAAAGAATGCGAGGGCGGCCAGGAAGGCAACGTTGAGAGCTCACAAAAAGTTATTAACGGAGAGTCGCCTACGCCTAATACAAATCACGAGTAATAGCATTGTAATAAAAACAAATTTCCCCAAACGTTTGGCCTAATTGTACGGCGATAGCAAAAAAAAAAAAAGACGAAAAAACTTTGGAATGAAAGAATTACCACCGAAAAACCCCCGCCAAGTCGGCAAAGGAATTTCCCCTTGCGGCTGGGAACGGTGCGGGTGCGCGTACTTTTCGCGAGGACTGTTGCTCGTGCGGCCAGCGTGACACAGAAAATTTCACAGCCCAGCCGAAAGCAGCAAGAAATCCCCCTCAAATTGTTTTGGCCCGCTAGTTGCATGTGAGTGGCGCATAACCATCACCCCCGGTGGACCCCTCTATGCCAGGACCTCCTCTTCTATAGGGCTGACGTTGCTGCCAACGACTAAGGCGACGACAAAACACACGAACATAAACCCAAGTACACAATCGCTGGGCCACACACAACGACAACGACTACGACGACGACAATATAAACACGATAAGCAAAAAGCTGCGATTTCCCCTCAGGGGAGAGGGTCTTTCTAACAGCGGGTCATGGGGGGAGTTAAGTAAGATCGGGTTTGGGTTTACCTACTGTGGTGAAGGTTTTCCTAATTTTCTAAATAATTTGATATTTAATTGGAAAATTTAAAATATTTTATATAGTATCTTAATATTCTTAGTTCGGAACTAACAACTTCTTAATTACATTTGTTATTCGGTTTTATGAATATATTGAAATTCAAGCATTTTTTGATTAGTTATGATAGATTTCCATGATTGATCCTCTAACAAATTGTGTGTTTAAACTTTGGCTTCTCAAAGCTAGCTTAGTTTCCTGTTTATTCTTTTATATATTGCACTTTATTTTTAAGCCAAGAAAATATATAAAATAAACCATAAACTTACTAGAATTAGTTAATATATAAACCTCACCACAGAGCCCTGTGTCGAGGTGTTCTAATGGGTTAATAGGATTTTCTTCAGATGGGCCTGCGGTGTCATCGTAGTAAACTTTTTCCTGGCTCCCTGGAAATTGCTTTAAACAGCCAAGTCTAAGAATCCCCTTAATCAATCGGTTAGAGCCTGAAGAAGAATTAGAGGAGCTGGGAAGGGTAACCACCACCCATCCTGCTTATGGCTACGCCCCTGGTCAACGGGCAATGGTGCAATGAGAAAGGTGAAGAAGCCAAATGGTTAAGAGAACCCAACAAATGGCCCCCTAGGACTTTCCTCTACACCAATATGTATGTGTGTTTGTGTGGGCTTGCGGTTTTCCTAAGCAGGGCACAATTAGTGAGGAAGAAGGGTAGCCCCCCTGCTAGCGGAGTTGGGCAGTTAGCCCCATAAGTCAGTCACTCACACAACAGGCCAACGTGTAATTCGATTCGCGCTGAAGGCGGGTGAAAGAGAAGGCAAAGGCACTCTCTAAGAAAATTGGCTGCGTCGCCGAGGAAATTTAGAGTGGACAAAAGGCAGCCAGGGCAGCACGGAATGTGGCAGTAGCAGCGGCAGCGGGAAAAGCAGCCAAAGGCAGCGCAGCTCGAAACACAATTCAAAAACACTTTGACCGGCAAAGTTGCCACACGGAATTTCTTCTTGTGCATCGCGTTAAACGCCAGAAAAGTAAGCAAAAGTTTCGCACTTTTGTTTTGCGCCAAACTTTCTTCTTACCAAAAAGTAAGAGAGAATAAGATGTTTTAATAAACTGCCAGCCATCGCCATCTCGAGTTCATTAAATTTGATTCAAGTAAATGTGTTTATCCGTGAGTGTTTTCCCCGATTCGAAGTCCGCCCCCCGAAAACAAGTGGACACAATTGGGGCTGATTGATAGGCAATTAGCGGAAGTGGCAGAGAGGCTGAGCCCGAAGAGGGGGTAGGATGCTGCTTGCAACAACAACAGTTTGTGCATAAATAACCCCAAGCAACAACCCAACGCCGGACCCAAGTGTCATTAACCTAATTGCCGCAAAAGAAGCCACAGCGCCACTTTCGCCGGATGAACCAACAAAACAAAAAAAAAATACATAAAAAATCGTCCACGGCCATAAATACGCGAGGCAAAGGGAAGCAACGTGCAACGTGTTGCAATAACAACAAATTTGCATAAAACAGGTAAAACCCACCAAAAGAGCCACCCGAAAAAAATAAAAACAGGTGAAAAAACCCCAACAAAAAATCGGTTTGAAAAAAGGGCCCCGCCAGCAAGAATTCCCCCGCTGCCAACAAATATTTATTTTTTGTTGCAATTGTAAAATACACGAAATTCCAATGCAGTGAAAAGGACTTGGATCCTGGATTCAGGCCCTGTCTGTGTGTGTGTGTGTGAGTGTGTGTCTGAATGGTTGTTAGTGAGCTGAGGGCTTCTGTATGTGTGTGTGTGTGAGTGCGGAGTGGTCAAAGACACAGGAGACCGATGCCGATGCCACTTAAGCCGGGAGTCGTCGGCTTGTTCCCAGCCGTCTGCAATTTTACGGTGCTTACCACTGAATGCACTGTTAAAAAAAAGGGGGTTAATTGAAATCGAAAAAGAATATATGTAGTACATAACTACCAGATTTTTGTTAAATATTTTTTACTTACATAAAACTAATTTGGTTTGATGTATCTTTCAGATATTTTCGATTTCGCAAAAGTAGATTTTGGTTCTCATTTAATGAAGCTGAATTCCCTTTAGCTTTTCTCTTCTATATTTATATTTGTTGTACTTCTTATTCTTAGCTTTTTAAAAGTATTTTACTCTCTGATAAAAAATTAACAATATTTTTTTTTTAATCAACACAAAAGCTATTTTAAAGTAGCCTGAAGCTTAAAATTAATTCAAAAAAGAAAACCCTTTAAATTTCTTCTCTTAAGACTTATAATTACTCAATTGAATATTTTTTTAAATATATTTAAGACATTTTAAAAATTAAGCTTTATTAATTATCTCTTAATATTTTATATTCTTCATTTTTTAGTGCACCTTTTTTCCCCGTGTAAGCACAGCAAATAGCAATGCAAGGCAAGGCAGGGCAAATAATACGCGATATTTTCGGCCTCTCCAGCGAACGTGGAGCAGGTCTGAACTCTGAACCCTGAACTCTGTCCGGTGTACCACACCCCCTTCCCCTGCCCTCTGCCATTCCATATATCCCCATCCCTTTGGCCCGCAGAAGTGTGAATGTTTGTAGTGCCCACGCCGAATGGTTGAGTGGGGCTCTTCGGTCTCCGGTCTGTTTACCGGGACAAAGGCAGTGGCAAGTGCTGCTCGCCGGACAGCCCATTGAATTGACCCGTGGAGCAGGCAGCAGGCAGCAGGGAGCAACCAGGAGCAGGGAGCTCTGGGTGCAGAGACCCGGATTCGAGAGGAGGGACTCTGAAGAGCCCCTGGGCAATGGGCAATGGGAGCATTGGACACATTGCATCGAGAGCTCGTGGCATATCGATTGAGCAAAGGGTGAGAGGACATGGTTCACAATTGATATTTCTAAGTGCAGTCCTTGAGACTTGGACAAGAGCATGAACATATGTACGATTTGTTACCGGGTTTATGAATGTGGCAATTAGGGGTGGCATCGATCAGAGAAGAAGATGTTGTCATTGAATTTGATAAGATATAACAACAAAATATAAAAATATAAAAAATATAACTTGTGAATATATTATCTTTTTCTAAACTTAAAATTATATTCTTTAAATTTACAAGCTTTTGAAAGCAGTAAAAGCGTGCTAAATATGTTCTCCCTTTAGTCTTTTAGGTGGGTTAGGTTAGGTTATGGTTTATTAATAGTGCTTAAATTATTTAAAATTATTTCTTTATATAAAAAAACAAAACCCAACCCTAATAGAAATTGGCATTCCTTTTAATTCTTACAAAAATACTTTAAAATGAGGTGAGAAATTCCCAAAACGAGTTGCAAATCACTTTCATATATTTCTAATTTGCAGCTAAGAGCTCCTTGGCTCCGCGCTGGACAACCAGCGACTGCGGGCGAAAACGAAAGCTGAGAAGAAAACTCCAAGAAGTGGCTTCACATTTCTTTGCGCTCCACATTTTTGCATTGCGTCGACGCGACGACGCTGCCCTTAGCGATTCCTTTGACCACAACAAACCAAGAACACGCAAGGTGGGCCAAGTGAGCCAAGTGAACTAAGCCAATAGCCAGGTGGTGAGCCAGGGAAAGTGCCTTAAGAGAACGCCGAAGTGAGTGCTTCTGCACACCAACACCAGGACAATGTCCCACGAAGAGAACGACGACTATATGACCAGCCTGAGCCAGGCCCATAACATGGAGGATGAGGTGGATGTCGGTGGTGGAGGAGGAGGAGGCGGGGGAGGAGGAAGTGAAGCCAGAGGAGGAGTAGGTGCTGGCGATGGCTTAGCAGCTGGCAGTAACGAGTCCGTTCTGAGCGGCCAAACAATGCCACAAATTAGTCCGAACGCACCGCTCGAGGGAAACGTTTCGCCGCCACCGACGCAGCCCCATTTGGATGATAATCTGCAGCTCAACGGCCACGGCAACAAGCACGGCAGCAACATCAACGGTAACGGGAACGGAAACGGACACGGACACGATAGCAACCGCAGCAGTCCGGCCAAGAGTCCCTCCAAGCGCCCTGTGTCCTCCAGCTTTCGGATTCAGAATGCCCATGATGACGAGGAGGAGGACTTAGCAGGCGGCGAGCAGGTGGTAGGATTGCCCGATCGCCAGGTGCCAGACTACTGGCAGCAGCGGAACGGTGGTGCAACCAGTGGCCGCCAGAGCCGTGCCATCAGTCCCGGCTATCCGGACAACATGAGCGAGACCTCGGAGCAGCCGCCGGTGGTGCCGCTGGTGCGTTCCAAGTCCCGGCCAGAGATCTCCAGTGCAGCGGCCGCGCGTTACAACAATCTCTCGTACTGGAAGGCACGCCGCGTGGTGTTCTACCGCAATGGGGATCCCTTCTTTCCCGGCGTCGAGCTGCGCTATCGTCCGGGCCGGGATGTGACCTCGCTGGACAACCTGCTGGACAAGATCTCGCCCAAGATGGACCTGCCGCGGGGTGCACGCTATGTCTTCTCCATGGACGGGGACCGCAAGTACCATCTGGATGAGCTGGAGGACGGGGCCTTCTATGTGGTCTCCTCGTTCAAGGCCTTCAAGGTGAGTCCCGAGATTCGCATGCATTTCTGCACTCTGCATTTTCCATAATATTTTTTTAAGTTTAAGTTTAAGTGAGTGTTTTCACGTCAGCGCAGCAAAATCAATATAAATTTGAATATTTTGGTATAATTTCGGTGAGTGTTCCGAGTGTGTGTATGTGTGTGTGTTCCATAAAACTATATACGAGGTTTTGGCGTTCAGCTTTCAGCGTTCTTTAGTTTTTTGCGGTCAGCGTCCCACTCCAAAATGGGTGAGAAACTTGGTCACTTGGCCTAAAAATCAAAGGCGTCGGCGCTCGCCTTTTGGCTTCTTTGTTTTGCTCCCTCTTCCTTGGACGTCCTTGGGGGGGTGCCGGAGAGTGGGCGGTGGGGTCGCATTTTTGCATGCAAGCACTTTCCATTTCTCTCGCTCTCATTCACTCACTCACTCACCCATTCACGGCACTGTGGGAGTTGCTGGCTAAGGGAAACAATACCAACAATTAGCACGAGCTGCGGCCTGGGACGAGAGGGCAAGTTGGGAATTAGGTCTTAGCTTTTTATGGTCGAGCGAGAGTTGGCTTACTCGAGAGCTTGCAAAAGTGGCTAAGAGAACGGGCTGCTCTTAGAGAACTTCTAACACGAGGTAACACACATGTGGGGGGGAAATAACTAAAACTCTTCAAGGAAAAAAGGGTCAGCTGGAAGTCTATCGATAGGTTTATCGTCACAAGGTGAAAGGACCTAAGGATAAGGATAAGAATTCAAATCAGAGTATTTTCTAAGAATTTTTAGAGACAAGCATTACTTTAAAAAATTCCCAAAAAATAAATATCTTTCTTAGCTATAAATTATACAGAATAATATATATTTAGGTAAAGGCTTTAAAATCTTAATAGTCATCTATACATTTTCCCTTTAAAAAAATGTTGCTAAAGGTATCCTAATCACTTTTAAATATAATATGAAATTACATACCAAAAATCCCCACAAAAAATACTATTTTTCATTGAATTATTTAATTTATTTAATCTATAAACCGCATACAATTCCCTTAGAAATAAAATCAGAAACCTATCAATCTACTGTTGATAATATTTTTCCTTCATCTCTTCTATAAAAGCCACGTCTTGGCCAGCTCCCTTGTTCAATTGTTGATTTTCGCATAAATTTCAATCATTGCCTTTGCTGAGTCTGTCCTTCGGTCCTCAGCAGATGGCTTAAAGGCCAGGCCCGGCTTTGACAGCTGGCCAAAAAAAAAAAAGGAAAAAAGAAGTCCGCACAAATCACAAAGCACATGGCAGCATGCGGGCGCAGCAATCAAGTGTCCGCATATCCTGCATGTCCTGGGAACAACTATTGAAAAAGTTTCCACCTTCTTTTGCCTCTTTTGGCCAAACCTTTTGTGGGCAAGCGGGGGCGTGGCAGCAAGCCATAATCGATAACGAGCAAGTCAAAAGCCAGCTATGCGTCTAATGCAGTCGCCAAAGTCAGAGAGTTTGCCAGTGCCCAAGACAAAGAGTGGGGCTGGGTTAAAAAAAAAAAGAAGCATACACACCACTCCAAGCATCCCCAGAACCACTGAGACCCGCTAGTTTGTAGATTCTCCTCCAGGCTGCTCCATAGGAACCACTACGACGGCTCCTCAACTTGCAAGTTGCAACGGCAAAGGCAATTCCGCGCCTGGCCCGCGGCTGGCAAACAAAAGCACAGCATGAAGCATGCAGCGTGCACTGAGGAAAATAACAGGGTTTTAAACAAGAAAATATAGAGATTCGACATTTAATTAAGTATTTTATTATAATTTTGTATAATATTTTTAATGGATAATTTATTCGCATTATTCGTTCAGAGATTTGCCTTTCAAGGCAAGTCACTGATGCTGTAAGGCAAGCTTAGGCATTGAGTTCTTAAAGCTTTTAAAATATTTTAAAATTACTTAATTGTAATACCAGTTTTCTCATAGTGTAAAGCCCCCCATCCTTTCCTAGCACTGCTCAAAATCAAAACTTATGATGAGCCAGCGGCGCTCTCCTCGGCAACCAAAAGAGGCTCCACAGCTCCGGCCCTCCGTTGTGTGTGAGGTCGCGATCCGCAGGCTCCATGCCATGGTACAAAAGGCCACGAAGAACAATGGGGGCGTACTCATATATACACATCAAATGGGGAAAATGGGAAAATGCATAGAAAATCAGCCGGCACTTTGGGCGAACTCACGCGAAAAAGTCCAATTTGAAAACTTGTGGCGTTTCACTTAGGGAAATTAAAAATGTATGCAAAGTCCGCTGGAGGAGGCCCAAGAAAAAAAGGCACAAAGTGCAGCTAATAATATAAAAATTCATTTTGTGGCCAGAAAAAACGTACTGTTTACGAAATCATTTATGATAATTTATTCAACCAGGCATGCGTGACGCCCACCTGGAAATTTTGAATGATTTTGGGTGCAGCAAATTGCATTAACCTTGTCAAGCTCACCAAATAATTGCTCTTCTTGGCGGCCAGGACACGGAGTGGGTGGAGTGCTTCATGCTTACAGTTTGTAATCAAAATTTAAATTTCCCCACCATCACGCTGCGAAGGTCGTAGGGAAAAACAGTGGGCTGCGACAGAGGAATTTCCACCAAGACAATGGGCGGAAAACTCTTTTGGGCGAAACACTGTGGATGGGATTAAGGAGCATTAATGGAATTTGTTAGCTTTCCCGAAAAGGAATTCATGTTTCCTTTCTCTGCTCTCAAACCATTTTTAATTTCCATATTCTTATAATTTGTTTAGGGCTTTATATCTTTAAGGGAAAAGCAAAGGTTTAAAATGTTTTAATAACAAAAATAGAAACCAAAAAGGGAAATTGTTGAGATGCTAGAAATTCCTGGGAACCTTTAAACTTTTAACTTTTTGAGAATTTTATTGATATTTTAGTTCAAGCAAACTTTTACTTGCTTGATATATTTTTCCAATATTAAAATAGCTACAGATTTCTTGCAAAAATATAAATTTCAATAGAAAAAATTCTATCTTTATTTATTAGCCCACAAAAAGTCAGCCTAAAATAAAAAGATTTATTTTTTCTATATTTATTATAGCCACAACTGGAAATGTAAACTTTCCCAAGGGCAGAATTCCATTTGAAACCAATTTTGCAGTGAAAGTACAAGGGAATCATGCAATTTAGTTATTACAAAACGGAGAGCCAATGTTTGGGCTTTCTAGAAAATGAATTAAGATTGCATTTGAAGAGATGGATTTTTTTTTTATTTAACTTATTTTTCATGCTTTACGCCACACCCTCCCCGAGAATGGCTGCAATGCAATTTATAAATTCCTCTCTTGACCCCAATATAAACTTCCATTTAAATTCCCCTCTGCTGACCAGTTTTGCTATGAAATTGGACATATATATCAGGCAATTTAGCAGCCAGTCTAAGGCAGGCCCGATAATGCCACTGTGCCATAAATACGCCTTAAAGGTGCAGCACGCCAATTATGAATGATGGCCAGGACGGAGCTGCACCCCAAAAAAAAAAAAAAATAGAAAAGAAAATGAAACGGTGTTGGCCAAGAAAACGGACACGCAGAGCCGCAGAGAAATTAAGATTTTTGGCACAGACGTGAGCGGCATGCCAAGAGAACAAAAGCCAAAATGCGGGCATGCAGCACGCAAGGTCAGCGCCGCTGTAATTAACTGCATATAAAGTGGGCGGCGGTCAGTAGTGGAGTGGGTGGTAATCGACCAGATTTCACGTCAATTATTTTTTCTATTTCTCCTCCTCCTCTTGCGGCGGCCAGCCAACTTATGACCAAACAAGCTGCAGTGACATGTGAACAAGATTAAGCCCAACAAACCCACGTGTGTATGTGTGCCACTACCTCAGCCTCTTTTATTTTTCGACTTTTCCGCACCACACCGCACCGCAGCAAGCCAAAAACTTCGGACTTGCCTTCGGGCTATAAAGCGTTTGATAAATTTCGCTGCCATTTACGTGTTGCACGCGCCAGAGATGTGAAATGTGGATGAACCGGTGTGCTGAGGGAGCTGGGTAAGGGTGTGGGTTCAGATAGTTGGCTAGCTATAGCCAACTCGGTTAAGGGGGTGGTGAAATTGCGCCTCCCTCCGTTATGGGCAGCTCTAGGTGCTGACGAGGGGCCGGGACAGCTGTGTCCGTTGACTGCACCTGACGACATAAATTGCGCATTTGCGTGGTCGTGATCCTTTTCACTTACAACGCCACGACAAAATCTCAGTTGCCGCCAACGCCACTGCCTTTTTGCCAGCCCAACCTCTTCACTTTCCTCTGCTCTACCCTCTCCTTTACCTTTTTCCACCTGAATTTCCGCCCAGCAGCACTCGCAGTCGCTTTAACAAAAGGTGCAGCAGGCCACCAGGGCGTATGAGTAATGCGCGTTTGGGTGTATATGACGCGTCTGCTCTACAATTACAAGAGCATTTTATACTCAATACCCATTGAAAGGGTAACAGGAAAGAAGGATTTATATGTACAATGTACAATTATTTAAAATTGATCAGTAAGTTTTATTTAAATTTAAAAATATTTCAAATGAAACGTAAACTATGTACAATCAATCGTTTCTAGAAAAACTTTCATTAGAAATTGACTGACATTGACATTGAAACATGTTTAAATTGCTTACTTTAAATATATAAAATCTGTTGGTAGGATTTTTAATTTAAACCCCAGCTTCAATTAGAATTTATTTCCATTTTAGTAGGCTTGTAAAACTAAATAACATTTCAAAGTTAAGCATCACTTTATAGTCCATCACTCCGATGGTTGCTGGAAACTTATCCCGGTTGTTTGCTGCTGCTGCTGCAATGATTTTTTAATTGCTTGACACAAATATAAACACAGACTCACAGACTCGTCCTTTTTTATTTTTTAAGCCTTGCTGTGCTGTTGTCCCTGTTGTCCCTGTTGTCCGCTGCTGACTCTTCGCTGGCCGGTGCCATTGTGGGCTCATTTTAATGATTTTCTGACTGCGTCATCAGAGGCATGCTTGATTTAC